AGTGTGTTGACTGCTCAGTAGTTAGATCTAGTAGTAGTCTGTTTTCTCATTATCACAGGCAATGGTTGCATGTTTACAAAAGCTGAAGAGAATAGCTCAAGAGGATATCAGCTTATCTGTAGATCTCAACTGTCATAAAACACAGGCTAATATTATCGACATAGTGATCATAAGCATCAGCTTACCTGCATGTACTGAAACTGCAAGGATGATAAAGTTCCTATCAAAGACTCAAATAGAGCTGATAAATTTCTCTCCTGATGCATAGCTATCATTCTTGCAGAAAGATCCGTATAGTTTCCGTGTTGTTCCGTACTTCAATACAGATCCGCGAGCGTTCCGCGTTGATCCGCATTTCAGCCTGATCCGCATTTCAGGCAGGCCCCATACATACATACAGAAGAGCCTCGCATAAGTGGGGCTCGCTTTTGCTCGCCCCAATTAACTGATTCATGATGTTGGCACTAGATCTATCATTGGCTGCTGTGACATTCATGATTATACCTACAGTAATTGTTCTAATTCAAACTACTTATCTAGTGAAAGGAAATGCCAGTAAGTACTTAGTCAGACTAAATTCATTTTGTTATTGTACTACATGTAGTTTTTGTTGTCTCACCTCAAGCAGTCAATGCAAGTCTTGACTCCACTGCTGTATTTCATTGTGCATGCCATGACTGTATAGCGCAGTTTTGGACGGTTAATGATAATTTTGCTGACCAAAATGGCATATCCCACACTGGATCTGATATATTATCCAACGGAACCAAGTTATATACTATGTCTATACAAACATCAGTAGAATTTAATGGATCTGCCATACAATGTGTTATATTTTGCTGCGAAACAAACCCTCTACTTAGAAGTTCAGTTGTAAAACTCTTAGTACAAGGTAACAAGTATATACTGTAACATTTGCTACAGATGACATTCCCAATTCCTTTACTTGTTTACTTATGCAACTATTAAAATGAGTAGGTTTGTTGTCTGAAGTTTCCCATGCTTCAGTAACACAGATTAACAGTACAGTCCTGTCATTACAGTATACAGCTCCATATACACTATCAGGAGTACCAATATTACATTATAATATACTAATATTACCAACCAACACATCAGTTAACATTACTGATACACAATACAATATACATATCAATGATCACTGTATTAGTTACAACATCAGTATAACACCATGGAATATTGTTGGTGCTGGTAATATCAGTACACTCTCAGATATCATCTTATATCAAGGTAAAGTGGTGGCATGCATAAATTTGAGCTTGAGATTTTCCGTAGCTCCTAATGTTACAATGCCACTGCTTATAGAAGAATATAATAATGGAACATTGCAAGTTTATATTGAATTTCAGGTAACATAAAAAATAAGTATGAACATAAATAATACTTTTGTTATCATCATAGTACAATATGTCATGTAAAGGTACAGCACCTCAATCTGTTTCATTAGCTATAAATGAAAGCAAAGAGTATCATTGTTCGTTGGTAGCTCCTGTTGCTAATAACTGTACTGTTACTACTGAAGATACAGATAATGTTAATGTTACTATTAATATAACAAATGCTTTAGAATGCAGTGCCATTTATGGTATCAGTATGTCCATTAATAATACTAAAACTACTAAGTTTACTTTCAATATAAGTAAGTGGAACTTGTTGAACTAATAATAATAACTGTCCTCACAGGTACATATCATGTCATTACAGCTGCTATATTATCAGTCAATGATACGACAGTTTGCCTTGAGTGTCAGTTTAAACAAAACTCCCCATCGACTGGTTGCTATGCTGTATTTTACCCTATCAATGCAACAGGAGAAATATATCACAAGATAGTGAAATCCCTACATGATACAATAGTTAGTGATTGTATCAGTACTCTACCTAATGGAGTATACAGTATATCAATACTGGATGCATTAAGCTATGAAAAAGGGTTGTTCAACAATACTGCTATCAATATACCATCATTAATAACTATACACAGGATTAATACCAACATAATAAATGTGACTTCAATGTCTGTATCATCACCAGCAATTACTACAGCTTCATTTGGTACATATACATTATATACTGTTCTCTTTACCGTTTCCTTTCATATAGTTGATAGTGATATGCATATGTCTTCCTCTTTTTCCTTCTCTCCACTTTTTTCTTCTACAAATTACAATAATCCTGTGACCACGTCATCAGCAGGAAGTGGTCCATCAGTCCTTACAGTAACATTGAGTAGTGCTGCCACAGTAGTAATGATAATAATAATTGTTATTATTACTGCAATTATAGTGGGTTTGTGTATTACAAAAAGAAGAAAGAGAAACAACAAAGGTAAATTAACAACAATACTTGTTTTATAATTATAGATGATAACACTGTTGTTCATCATACAGCATCAGTAATAAACCCAATGATAAAAGAATACAACACAACACTAAATGAAGCAAATGACACCATTGGTAGTGTGACTCATCCTAATATAGCTTATGAGACTATAAAGGCAACAGGAAGAGGAACTACTGCTGGAGGGATACAAGCTAATGTTGCATATGAGAATATCATTAGAGGCAATTCAGTATATGATATAGTGCAAGAGGCTCCTACTGAACCAACTGAAAGAATGTATGATACTATTAATAAATAATT